ATATAAGTTTTTTGGGGGGATAGCCAAAAATCATCACTTGGAAGTCAACAGAGGTACAAAAGGATAGATTCCTAACCAACAAGACAATATTCAATCCATACATATTAGCATAGTCATCTGGCATTCCCCAAATCCAGTTGTCTATCAACAATTCTAAGTCCCAAACCATGCCAAAATAAAATATAGGTACCTTCTCCTTTTAAAAGATCTAATTTATTGGCTCACACCTGCAATCCTAGCACTCTGGGAGGCCGAGGTGGGAGGACTGCTTGAGGTCAGGAGTTTGAGATCAGACTGAGCAAGAGCGAGACCCCCATCTCTACTAAAAATGGAACAAATTAGCTGGGCGCGGTAGTGTGCACCTGTAACCCCAGCTACGTGGGAGGCTGAGGCAGGAGGATTGCTTGAGCCCAGAAGTTTGAGGTTGCAGCGAGCTATGATGACGCCACTGCACTCCAGCGGGGGCAACAGAGTAAGACTCTGCCTTAAAAAAGTAAAAAATTTAAAACAAAAAAAGACCTAATATATGAACAGCCAGATTTATCCCCAAACAATGCATTAGTTTGCCAAAACATGTTTTATCTTTCAAAGGACCTCTATATAGCATGTGTCCTCAGCACATTTTAAAGTACTCTTTTGATTAAAACTCCACTGAGCTTTTCTTTTTCAGAATCTCATCTGCTTAAGAAGCAGTCCCCAACCTTTTTGGCACCAGGGACTGCTTTCATGGAAGACAATTTTTCAGGGTGGAAGGTAGGGGATGGGGGGAGGCAGTGAAGATGCCAGCGATGGGGAGCAGCTGTAAATACAGCTCCCATACCAGGCATGGCCCCAGGGGTTGGGGACCACAGTGCTTAAGCCATGTGTAGCACTTCCATGGGACCAAATAACTTCTCTTTCTTAATTTCACAGGGGAAGAAACTGAGGCTTAGTCATGTGACCTGCTCAGGACCCTCAGTAGTGGCAGTCCTGTCTCCTGACTCCTATACCAATGCTCTTGCTCGAGTCCATCATTCTTGCTATCCCCACTTTAAACAACTATTCTCATGGAGTTCTTTTCCATTTAAACCTCACATTAAACAGAAATTGTTAAATTGTTAAACTGAGCCCTGTAAGACAGCCCGTAAAATCCAGAGAAAGAGGCACTTTGGACAGCTGCTTTGTAACAGTGGTGTCCTCACCCAAGTCCATCATGCAGTTAAACAGGGGAGAAGAACGGGCCCTCCAGGCTGGAGCTGGCTACATTCTTTCCAGCTGTCTCTCAGTGGATGTTCAACTTCACCAGCTATCTCACTTGACTATGTCTTGGCTTTTTGACCTTCAGTAAAACAGCAACAAAAAAATATGTACCTCCTCCTCAATGAAAGATGAGTACAATGAGACAATATAATTATTCATGTTTCTCATGAGTGAAGCATAATTTACACATGTGGCTATATAATTATAAAGACCCTTCCAGGATCATCCTTCTTTGGGGTTCAAATTTTTCTTATAATTTACAACCCCTCTGCATTGGAAGAGGACAATTTTATTTAAGAGTTTAATTGATTTGCCTGAAGTCACACAGTTTGACCTGTGTCTCATCCACTCTGAATCCTTGTGCAGTCTTCTCGGTACCACATGCTGCTATTCCTAATCATTAGAGATATGGAGAAAAGAAAAGGCTTGATTATTAAAGTCCAGTAGGCCAGGGTTTCTCAACATCAGCACTATTGACATTTTGAACAGAACAATTCTTTGTTGCGGGGGGAGGGCTATCCTGTGCATTGTAGGATATTTAGCAGCATCCTTGGGTTCCACTCACTAGGCAACAGTAGCATCCCCACTCCACCCCCAGTTGTGACAACCAAAGATATCTCCAAACACTGCCACATATCTCCTAGGGAGCAAAAGTGCAAGTGCCCCTGGTTGACAATCACTGTGCTATACATATAATACACAAATGTCTGGAAACAATCACCTAAAAGGAAAACTACAGACTGAAAAGAGAAGACAAAGAGAAGGTATATAATTCTCTTTACAGATCTAAAAAGTCTCCATTATAGAAGCAGGAACAGATTTGGGATACCAGGAAGATGAACCATAGCCAGTAGGCATCAGCTACATCATAATAAAACCAGCTAACATTTATTCTATGTGCCAGGCACTGTTCAGTACATTTCAAAGTATTATTCCATTTAGTCCTCACAGTAATCCAGTGAGGTCAGTAGAATTGGCCTCACTTTACTGATGAAAAAAAAAAAAAACTGAGGCTCAGAAATGTTAAAGAATTTACCCAAGGTGCAAGAGCAAAAGTCAGGACCAGGACTCAAACCAAAGTCTATGCTGAATCCAACCTCTTAACCACCAAGCTACTATAACCATGACAAATTATGGATATTACCTCAATAAAATAAACTTAAGGACTGTTTCTTTCACCAGCAATGATTCTGGCAGCTCTCATCTCCATCCTATCTGTCCAGATCAGAAGTATTATACATCCAAAAAGCCTTCCCTCATAACTTCCAGGGAAGTCTCTACTCTGAACTCCACTGGGCCCCTGTACAACACCCAACTCTTGCTACTTCAAGTTAGACATCCTCATCCTACTTAGATGGCAAGCTCCTTGAGAGCACGGGAAGCCAGCTTCTCACATTTATATTCCCCTCCTCAAGCCTCATACATACTGAGGCTCAATAAACTTGTGAATGATTTTATTAGATATATTGAGTTTTTTCCAACTCTCAGAACCTGAATCAGGAAGAGGCAGAAAGGGACAGATGACTGGCAGCACAGCCCATTGGCTTTTCCTCACTCAAGCTACCAAGGACTCCCTTGACTACAACCACAAATCATGTGTCAGAGGCTACGTGTATTTATGTATATATATGTGTATATACACATATATGTGTATGTATAAATATACACATATATGTATATCTCAGTTCCCTCTGTAAGAAATTCAGCAAACATCTACAAGATTTCTGAGGCTCTGAGGCCAACACACGGAGGTCTAAATTAGGGGTCTCTTTTTTCCCCTGGTATATGAATGAGGTAAGGCAAATAACGCTCTACAGTAATGCTCCTCATAAAATACTAGCACATCTGTCAACCAGTACTGCCTCTCACACATAGCAGGGTCTGGCACCCTTTCAGGAAAATGCCAAGTGGCCAAAGCTCTGTTCTTGGGAAGAAATGGGAGCACATATGTGTGTGGCACTGAAGAGATGCTCACAGACAGTTAAGGAGGAGAGGAGAAGAAGCAATCTTTGGGACTTTAAATATTAGATTAGAGGCCACCTATCAATAGACAAACTCTGAACTGCATCTTATCGGCACTACATTTCTTTTAGAATGCCCAGGTCTCCAGGCTATACTTCCATTTCTCTTTAAAAAAAAAAAAAAGGGAGGGGGGAGTAGATAATCAGACTTAGAATGATGAGTCAAATAATAAGGTGCATGCTTTAGGGAAAGCCTGAAAAGCCCATTTTGGTTTCTGCAGGTATTAATAAGTGGCAGCCTTAATTTGTGACATCAATTTAGGTCAGAGGTTTTTCCTCTCATTTTCATGTCTCTTGGTATGTGATATTGCTAGAGAGCTGGATTCTGCAAGTTTTATTTCAGTTCTTTGTTATCCCAAGATACAGACTCTTTTCTTCACTATTTAAAACAGACATTTTAAACATCATCAACTCTCCTTGATAAAGCTGCCATTTACGTTAAGATCTTGACTTCCTAGTTCTAGTAATTCCATTCCAGGCTATCTGTGAGCCTAGCATATAGTAGGCAATCAGCAAATGTTTGCTTAATGAATAAGTGGATGAGAGGCAGATTGAGATTCACAGAGATTTCGAAGGAAATAATACACAATGCATTAATTAATGAGGGGAAAGATTAATAAGTGAATCTTCTAAGTATTTTTGGTAAATGATATTTATGAATCAAGCATTTTCTTTCATGGTTAAAGAAAAAACATTTATTTTCAGGGCAAACGGCTTTATTGGTGGCTAGCAGCATTAAGTTAAAATTGCATGTATAATAAATCTACAAAAAAATAAACCCCAACTATGCCCAGTGTTCACAGAAAGTAGAAGCCCATCTTCTTACCATATGCACCTAGTTCTCTGGGCTAACCTGGGGGTGAAGTGGAGTGCTGGCTGAGAATGCCACAGAGTACAGCAATCAAGCAATCACCTAGCCCAAGGACCAGACTCAAAATAAAGAGAACAGATAGAAGTAGAGAAGAGCCCCAGTATAAACCATTTAGCTGTATCTCCTTAACTCCTCAGTGTTTTAGAGCAGTAGACAGAGAACAGGAACCATGAATGCAAGCTTTACCTACTGTCAATAGGTTTCTCATCACTGTACATGGGATCTTCTGGTTCTTTCCTTCCTAACCGTCTATGTCCATCAATGACACAGCATCTCTGACCCTTATGTGCA